AATCGGTCTCAGCAGTTTCAAGGGGCAAGTAAAGTATCATGCTCTTCACACAAGATGCAGTTGAGCTGCGAAACTTGAGGAGAATCGCAGATTTACACAGCTCAAGGAGTAAACGCATCCCTCCCCTCTCTCTTCCCCCCTGCCCCGGTTCCTTGAGAGCTAATAAATACCAAGTCCCTAGGTTAGCTCGAGAAGATTCCCAAGGCGCGAGTCGTTGGGTGCTAGAAAAAAAACATGAGGAAAGCAGAGCGCCTTGTCACTCTGTCCCCATACAGCCTTTTTCCATGTTCCTGTTTTTCAGTCATACCAAATAACAGTCCCAGAGTTATCTCCAGCTGGTGGACTTGCGTAAGCGTGGCACGCAGCTCAGTGGTATCTGGAATCTGAGCGGGATGCGGGAGCATTTTGAAGCAACTTGGAGCGCGAGGATAACATGCCTCACAGATACCACCGCTACCTCTATTCAGCACATGAACTCTCATGCATAATGTAGTAGAGACGCCACTTTTGGAAAGGCCGGCCTTGCTTAGTTGCCCACAATAACATTCTTTTTTCATCCTCGGATCAAAGATAAGAGATTCTTATCAGGAAAGAGAAGAGACATTTAGCCAAATTCCCATTCGGGAGGAAGGACTACCAACGAACAAACAAACCTAGAGACCGAACAGGGCTTAGGCAGACTACATCGGGGATGGGAGAGGATGGGAAGTACATACCACTTGATCTTGAGCCCAGTCACAGCAGAGAAGTCTTGGCAGCGCCTTCTCGTAAGGATGCCGAATTGCAGCTTTGACACGAGGTATTTTCCATAGGGTTGATGTTATAATATAGGCTCCTTAATAAGGAAAGAGAGGTTCCCAACCATTCATCTCGTCCACTCGTTCTCACAGTGTAACTGTGCGCAGGCACACGCAAGTAATCCCCCGCAGATAGCTACGATGCTCAGAGAAAGAAACGAGGCCTTTGGCTAGACTTCTGCCTTCCATCTTTCTATACCTAAAACACTTTAGCCTAAATGTTGCTATTTAGTGAAACGAGGCATGCTGGAAAGCGTAGCAAGTCCATCGGGAAAGAAGGAATCTGCCAGCCTTAAACTATTTATAACGTTTCCGTTCTCTGTCTTGATTTTTACCTAGGTCCTGGGCAGCATGATTGCGTTTTCAATCCGGTACCAACTAGTGCGCTTGTTTTACGATGTCTGACTCGGCTGTCAGGGAGCAGGGGAAAGAGGTGTACCTGCCAGTTAGGTT